CACTCTAGTTTAAGAAACAAAAGCTTTTGCAACTTGCTCTTTAATTTGCTGTGGCTGAATTTTACCCATGGGTGGGCTAGGGGAATGGTAGGGGGTGCAGAGTGGATGCACTAGTTAGTTTCTTTGATTTTTAAAAAACCCAACAGGTGTAAAAATGCACCAACCTATTAGACTTCCCTTTGCTACATGGAACTCGTTTTTGCCTGAAGAGATCCAGACCCCACTACTGTTGACTCCAAGAAGGCTGGGCTGACATTGAAGCTGCTGTGACCAAAATGCCATTCGAAGTTTCTCCGCCACCTTCTCTACTGGAGCCTGGGCTGCTGTTGCCACTGTGTGTGTTGCATGGATTATTGTCTGGAAGAGGCTGCATTGGTCAAACACGACGTAATCTGTAATGCTTACCTGGAAAAAAATGTTCTGGAGAATCAGTTAAACTAGGGATGAGTTATAGGACCTTCCATAAAAAGCATGGCAAACTAGATACGTTGCAGAGGTGACGCATGGGGGGAGTGCTCATATTTTCCCCTTAGCCCTGCTTCGTCCCCTGCAGAGGAACGTGCCGCCGGGGGGAGGGGGGGGGGAAGAGGAAAAGGGAGGGAGAAGAGCAGTGACTTTGAGGTCGATGAGTTTGCCCACATAGGCTGCATAAAAGGGAGGACAGGGAGCAGCTCTCCTGACTCACCACACAGTCCACGTGGAGAAACTGACCAGCAGGCACAGAGCACCTGGTGTTGGTGCTCACCCCTTTCCCCCTCAGCACCCTAGGGGGGACAAGGAGGAATGTTTGGGGGAAGGGGGAAGCCAGGTGTTCTCTGCTAGCAGGTCAGTTTCCCCCTCATGATCAGTGTAAGGGGAGGGCAAGAAAGCAGTGACCCAAGAGAGCCAGGCAGCTGAACTGCTTCGCAACCATCTGTGCAGTGTACAGCCCAGTTGAGTGACAGAGTGAATTACTCCTGGGGTAATTGGAATTCTGCACCTGGCTCAGCTGCTGGGGGTGGGGGAGAAGAGAAAGAGGACTTCCTCTTCCCCTGGAGCAGCTGGGGCCAGGTCAGATTCACCCCCAGAAACCTCACCAGCTGCAAGAAGCTCTGCACCCCTCCCCCAGTTCCTGTCCCTAATCACTCCTCAGCCATGGGGAGAAGGGGTCACTGTATAGGAAGCTGCCCCCCTAATCTGCCCAACCCCTTTGCATTCAGACCCTGCCAAACGCACACACCCAGAACTTCTTCCACTGAGCCCCCTGTGCCCAGACTCCCCTGTCAAGCCCCTCCCACACACTTGAATCCCTACCCCATCTAGCCTTACCCCCCCACACCTGGATACCCCATTGAGGCCCACCTCCCCACACACCTGGATCCCCCACCAAGCCTCACTCCCCCACACCTTGCCACCCCAAATATAGAAGTCAAACTACGCTTATGATAAAAAGATGCCTCATCTGCCTTCTGAATAAGGTTCAGGAGTCTCAGGAACAGTGTTCCTGAGTGAACCTCAGGAACCTCTCTACTGAGTGAGTGGAAGAAGAAACAAGTTTGAGTCCTCTTGAGTTTTGATGGATTTAAGTTTTAGGAGCCTTGATTACAAACCAGAATCACATAACAGATAACAGCTTCCTATATAACAAAAAAAAAAAAAAAAAAAAAAAAAAAAAAAAACACCACACCTAACCAAAAACAAACACCTGTCCAAAATTTCTTGGTATTTTTATCTATTTCAAGTACTGCAGAACTCTGCTGCACCTGAAGTCCCTTCATTTGGGGAATGGTCAGAGGGGAAAAAAGAATCTCTCTTCTTCCCTGAAATTGTCCTGGAGCCTGGCAACAAAGAGATGGATCTTCATATAGCTTCATTTAGCGTCCCCAGAGGAAGAGTATCCATGGGACTCACATGAGCTGTTTGAACTCATGTTAATGGCTTTCAGCAACCGCTCCTTAGTGGCCCTGACCCAAGAAGGTGAGAGACTATATGGTTAATTGCCCAAGCTCTATTATAAGCAACTAAGTATAACCATGCTTTAGAGCATTCAAAAAAAAAGGAGGTAATTCCTGCTTTTATGGGAATGTGCATCAAGGTAAGACAACTTACTGATGAAATTAGATGTCATCTCAAAACTATGTTGTCCATGCTGCTCCAATACAAGATTCCACACACACACACACACACACACACACACACACACACACACACACAC